TGCACCTTTGTTGTACTGTTTGGTTTATATGTTTATTGTTACGGTAGATGTTGTTGTGACAATAATAAATAGATGCATGCATAATGCATAAATGATGCTATACAATGCATAATGCTTAATGTGATATATCATGAATGATGCACATGCACACGATAATATGCGTGACAGTTAACAACCCAAAAACTAAGCTACCGCCATCCCCTGCCTAGCATGGGGGGGAGGTCAATAGCTTAACTTTTGAATAATCAACTGTCACATGAAACAACACAATCTGTGAAATCTAAAAAAAAAGTCAACTCTATCAAATCCAGTTCGAAGTGGTCGCACACGAGTCACTGAGAACGCCAATGAACCTTTTGTGAAATGATAGAGTTGAGCTTTCTTTTTTAAAATCACAGACATGCATTGTTATTGTAATGGTTGAATTTACACACGCATACGCACGCAAATACATGCATACATACATATGTACATTCATACATACACACATACCGGTACATACATATACATACACACTTACATACACACTTACATACGCATAACCAAACATACTTACTCACACAAAGATAATTAGTCACGCAATCATTTGCAGTCGACGAATAGAACGACCCCAAAAGCAAAATCCATATGGCATTGTCTAGTTTATCTCCCACCCACATTTCCTTAACTAGATTGTTTCAAAAAGACCCAGAGAAAAAACAAATGATTCTTAACCAACTTCACGCGTCTCGGTCTTCACCGTTGCTGCAAGAATTTGAAAATTGAAACAAAAAAATCAATGGAACAACATTAGTAGTTACATGACATAAAGATTGTTTAGCAAAGCAAAACACCAAATGAATATTATTATTCCACGCACGTCAAACCTCCTCTTTGTAGGTGTGGACGATGGCTGGGAGCTCGACGTGTCAAAGTTGACAGTGTCGACGTTTGACTTCGGGACGCTCGAGATGTCAACAATGGTCTTGTGGATGCGCCCCCCCTCAAGTCCAAAGTGAACCTGAAGGGGGGAAAGAGTATAAATGATAAAAAAATGTAATATTCATCAACAGTGACTAAATCTAAAGAAGATAAACTCGTACCTTAACGAGCCAGCGACCTTGAAGAGCACCTAGTAGACTTTGGCGCTCATCCGAGGGCAAGGAAAGAAATGTAGACATTTGGAGATGCGGGATTACTTTTGTCAAGAGGCTTGGTTGAACCACCAAGCCGTAGGCTTGGTTCTTGAATGACGCTGAAATTTTTTAGCAAAACAAAACAATATTTAATGCCTTGACAAAACGTCTAACACTGTACACAAAAGCATACAAGTACCTTACTTACCGTTCTCGTGTACGACAAGTGTCACCGTCGTGTTTTCGATCCGGGTGATCGAAGCGGATCCATGCCTCGAGCACGAATGCTCGCGTGTGGCACAGGATCTGAAAACTGCCAGTGGACAAAAACCCCCCGATCCACCCTTGCACACCGTGCGCGAGGTGTGCAAAGGATCCTTGATCTCAGCTACGAGAGACGCTATCTTCTCTTTCCTAGTTGTCATTACAACTGTGTCCACATTACTCATCCTGAATACGAGAAACGGAAGAGTTACTTTCGAGCGTCTCACTTAGAAAATGTTCAAATGCGCATGCTATGTTCACTTACAGCGACACGAGCCCGACGTCTTGCGGTTCCGCCGTGTCGGGGGCATCTGTGATCTCCGACGCTCGTCGAGTGTCAAGAATGGCAACATCCGAAAGCATCGTTGTCGTGAACAAACCCGACTTTAGATAGACATTGCTAATGTAGACAGGCACGTCTGTAGCATCTGAGTGTTGATCCAGGTATGTCTTACAGCACTGGTGGATCCGCGTGGCAGCGTCCCCCAGCGATACCAGGACACTCTCAAGGGAGGAATCCTGGATGATCGCTGTAAGCTTGGGCAATCCACTTGGCTCCTCGTATGTTGGGGCTTTGAGTCTGACAGAAACGCAAGGGATCTGGTAATACAGAAGAGCAAAATGTCATTAAGAAGATTACGAAAATTATGAAAAGATAATTGAGAGTAAAAGCATGATCAACACAAGCATGAATACAACAACGCACTTATCACTGTAACGAGGACCACACATAAAGTTAGATGTGCTTTAGTGAGTTACATCATAGGGGGTACGTCAAACGACGCTCTTTTTATCCTTCCTCTCTTCCTCATTCTTAGTCATCTTTCCACAGACCAAACTTTGCACCAAGATTTTTAAGACTTACCCTGGAATCGTCGTTCGTCTCGAAGAAGTTCTAGAGCGGTGCAGTGGGCACGTCTCCCAAAGTCAGCTGCAGGCCCTCATCATCTTTCACCATGTATGAACAACGATGTATCCAGGTCAGTTGCACGTCAAGGCCTCCAATAAGAGTCCTGTCCATAGTAGCATATATTAATATGAGTATTTACATGTACTCATGCATATGCTCAAGTCCAAGTTCAGACTGAACTTACCAGCCAGGTTGTTTGCGCGAAGCATTGACACGACGAACTTGATAGACATCTCCAATGGAGAATCCCATCAAGAACTCGTTCAATGCCCGCACGTCGCATCGACTAGATCCTGTGGACTCTAGCCACATGATCATCTCGGCGACAGACTGCGCTGCGTCAAAAACAAGCATCTTTCCTGGCGAAGTTTTTCCATCGTTCTTTATGTAGGTGTTCTTGGTTCCAATCACCATCACTTTAAGATGGAAATCGGATGGCTTGTCTCCTCCTACTACCCAATCTTCCAGAAACTTGTGGTCCACCTCTACAGTGACCTGCGAGTAGAATATTATATAGTGAATGTTGTATGAACGAAGTGTATTCGATATATGGTGCGTTGCAATAAGGTGCATAACAACATAATGAGACAAAACTTACCTGAGTACGGTCGTGCGGAGGTGGCAATGTCCCTGCTTTCAAAACCACATGGAATTTGAAATGCAACATTTAATATTGCAGGTGTTGGTATTTGTAGGATAATAATAGTTGAAGATGAATTGCAACTTTGGAGGTGTATCAATCAATAACGACATAAATAGGGAAGTGGTCAGAAAAGTAAGTCTCGCCGACATGGACTTTGATATGTGTCTTAAAACAATTTGCCCATACGTGGTCAATAAGTGTATTATTAACTGTAGTTGGCTCGATAACGAACTGAGTGAAACCATGCCGTTTGAAGAAATTATCATACCGACGTTGTGGATTCACATTAAAATCGAGATTGAAATCACCAATGAATATCATGTTATCATGAGGATGTTTGATAATAATGGATAAAATCATATCAAAGAGGATGTTTTGATTATGCTGATTGGTCGGGTTGCGATAACAGCAAGTAATAATCACACTTTTGTCTCTGATATCGATACCAAAAGTCAAAAGTTCAACTTTAAACTTCTCTTGATACTGTATCAATCTGATCGGAATTCGATGATATAGTACAATTCCGCCAGATTTGCGATCCGCACGAAAAACCTCAAAGAACTTATCTGTTTCGCTCGGTAGTGTATCGTTTGAGCTCGGGAGACCCCAAGTACCTTCAGCCATATGATTAGGCGAGCAGCAGTCTAAAAGAAATCTTTAGCAAAGGATTAACAGTACGATTTGTTGTTGTTCCTGCTAAAAACAAGGAGTTTCAAGAAATCCGACTCAAAATTCCACTCAAAGATTAAAACGAGGCAAACTAGTTTCGGGTGACGGGACAGGCCCCAATCACACCTTCATCAGTGCAAGTGGAAATGAAAGAGAATGAGGAAGACGAAGCATTTGGGCAAACACTACGTCTCGGAAAAACAAAACTCCAGGTTGTTGCAACCGTGGCCAGAAATCTGGTTGGCCAATCCCTGACGACCTAGAAAAGTCCAAGTCTTCGGGGTCTTCATTCCTCGTGGCGTAACGTTGAAGTAACACAATCCGCCAGCTGGTGCTCAGGGAGCCTCGCGCGAACCAGTAACCTTTGCAGGTTACAACCAGTTTTCCAAGCAACAAAACAGCCCTCTATGTAAAATCCGTGTGTAAGTAGACGACTTTTGAGACGTCTCAAAAGTCACCTACCTGGCGTGGTCTGACCTACCTGGCTTGGTGTGACCTACCTGGCTTGGTGTGACCTACCTGGCTTGGTGTGACCTACCTGGCTTGGTGTGACCTACCTGGCTTGGTGTGACCTACCTGGCTTGGTGTGACCTACCTGGCTTGGTGTGACCTACCTGGCTTGGTCTAACCTACCTGGCTTGGTGTGAACTACCTGGCGTGGTCTGACCTACCTGGCTTGGTGTGACCTACCTGGCTTGGTGTGACCTACCTGGCTTGGTGTGACCTACCTGGCTTGGTCTAACCTACCTGGCTTGGTCTGACCTACCTGGCTTGGTGTGACCTACCTGGCTTTAACCTACCTGGCTTGGTGTAACCTACCTGGCGTGGTCTGATCTACCTGGCTTGGTCTGACCTACCTGGCTTGGTGTGACCTACCTGGCTTGGTGTGTCCTACCTGGCTTGGTGTGACCTACCTGGCTTGGTGTGACCTAACTGGCTTGGTGTGACCTACCTGGCTTGGTGTGAACTACCTGGCTTGGTCTGACCTACCTGGCTTGGTAGGACCTACCTGGCTTGGTGGTGTGTGTGTTTGTTGGTGCAGCCTGTCGGCTATCTGGTTGTTTGTGAACGTGCTGTTTCCATTCTTCAGCTTTCAGGCGACTGTGCGGTTGGCTACCCCTCTCAAACCTCTCAACTCTCTCAAGCCTCTCAACACTGCACATATGCTCACATAGCATTGCTGCCCCGCCTACTCACCCACCTTTTTTTTTTTTTTTTAATGTCTCATGTTTATGTTTATCCACCGATGTAACCTTTGAATCACGGAACAAGCAGTCTTTGTGACGTGATTATAACGCAACACATCACACCAATACCAGCTCCCGACACCTCCTGTCCCCCTCTATTGCCCCCCACCACCCAGCTAGACGGGCGAGTGATCACAGAGTCCGTGACTATAATGAAGGAGATCGAAGCCGCCTTCCCAAGTCACTCGCCGCTCCTCCCCCCTCCCTCTGATGCGCACGCAGCAGAGGCAGCAGAGCAGATGATGGGTCTGGAGAGGGGGTTGACTGGGGCGTGGCTCAAGTGGACCAAGGGAAAGGATGCCATGCGCTGGCTTGCCGGTGGTAGTGGGGCCGGAAGCAGCAGCAGTGGGGGTAGCAGCAGTGTGAGCAGTAGTGGCAGCAGTAGCAGTGGCGAGGGTGCAGGCGATGAGGAGGAGGGGGAGGGGCGGAGGGAGTTTGAGGCGGCAATGGATGCCATGGAAGAGGCTTTGGTGAAGAGCGGAGGGCCTTACTTCCTTGGGAAAGAGGTTTGTCTGTCGGCTTCACTCATTACACTCAATCTCGCTATTATGAAAGTCACTCTCATGTTCATCACAGTCACTCTTACATTGATCACATTCAATCTCACAGTAAGGCCATCAAATTATGCCAGACTTGAGCAGAATGGTGCGGTATTGACCTACCATGCTTTCATACCAAATACCATCCATTGTGCTTTCAAACTACTTAGCAAGTGAGACTATATTTATATATTCCCATGTACGGCAGCATATATACTTCTATCTGTCAGTGTGCCACACATACTGCTATCTGTCTCGCCAACTCATGTCTCCTGGCTCGTTTGCCTTTTATCTTTTAAACCTCCTCGTATGCTTCAAGTGCAAACTAGTCTCTGCCGCATTTCTGCCAGGAATGATCTCTCCATGCTTGCGTCCCTACTTCTCATGCGCTCCCAATTCTACCACCCATCCACACCTACCCCACCTCACATGTGGTTCTCCTCTCCCTTGTCGACGTGACCCACGTGCCTGCTGCACGTTCACCACAACATCCCTCCCTTCCGTTCCACACCCACCCCCGCCTCCCAGCAGTTCTCCCTTGTTGACGTGACCCACGCGCCTCTCCTGGAGCGATTCGCTGCCAGTGCACCGTACTGGAAAGGCCTCACAGTGCGGAACAACCCTCGCTGGCCGGCCCTCTCCCGCTGGTACGACGCCATGGATGCTCGACCCGCCTACCTCCCTCTCAAGTCTGACGATTTCTCCATCACCCACTCCCTTGTCCCGCAAATTGGGCCGGTGATCGCGAGCACCAATCCAACGGCTGTGGCGCGCCGGGCTTTTATTGATGGATGGGATGGGACGGGTGCGTGGGATCTGCCGCTGGGGGAGGAGGAGATGGCGTGGGGGAGGGAGGATGGGACGGGGGGGGAGGGGCGGAGGGCGCAGAGAGAGGTGGTGCGGGCGATTGTGGGGAATCATGACAGGCTAGTGGCCTTTTGCCTGTGTTCTTTGGGGGATTCTGCACATGTTTCAGCCGCTACGACTACTGGGGATGCTGCTGGTGCCATGGGTGCTGGTGCCGCTTCTATGAGCAGCCAGACTCATGCGGACCAAGCTGAGCCACAGCAGCAGGCCATCACAGCGGAATGCCTTGCGCCAGCTGTCAGCGAGGCGTTGCGCCACGTGGCGCATGCACTGCTGGTCGGCACAGAAGCAGCAGGCCCATTCCCTGCCGTGTCCCAGTCACTTCAGATGATAAGTGGTGGGAGCAGAAGTGAGGATGTGAGGGCAGCAGGGGAAGAACGGTTGGTGATGGCTCTTGCGTATCTGAGGGATAGAGTTGGGGTGCCAAGGGACTTGAGTTATCCAGCTGCAAGGCAGCTCCGAGCTCACCTTCAGTGGGTCGTTCGGTCATTAGGATCCCCAATGTAGAGACGTAGATGACCTTATTGTTGATAACCATTATGATTCACGTGTAAGAGAGAAACTTTTAACCACTTGAACACTACACCAGGTTTTCTGTCATCGTTGTAACTTGTAGGTATTTACTTCTTCGAATGCGGTGGAACCATATTGTAGAAGCCCTTTAACATATGAAGCCTTTTCAGCAACCCTCCACTCCATGAGTTTCCTCATGTGGAGCAGTAGCCATTGCGATCATGATGATGCTTCAAAGAATGCCTGGCACACATTGCGAGTCAGAGACTCGTATCGGAGGTGAAGGCTGTGGTTTGAAAAGGCAAGGCGACTTTCAGCACGATCACGAGCTCAATTACAGGACGTTTCTGGGTTGCATAGAGCTGGGATAGCTCGAACCCATGGGAGGAGGGGGGTGGGGGTGGGGGGAGGGAGAGAAACAAGGGACAGGAATCAGAGGAGGTTGCGTGTGTTGACACTGCTGGTGGAGGAGTCATAGTGAGAGCGGATTTGACTGAATTGCGAGGGCTCCGATGCTCCCTCTGCTCCTCCACTGCGGAGACTCAGATCACTGTGACCAGTAAGTCGTCACCAAGTAGTGGTTCAGTAATTGAATGAAATATAACTTCCATGCATCTGCTCTCTTGCAAAAATGATGGCCCTGCCACCATGATAATATCGTCATCATGCCTTCATGGCCCTGCCACCATGATAACATGGTCATCATGCCTTCATGGCCCTGCCACCATGATAATATGGTCATCATGCCTTCATGGCCTTGCCACCATGATAATATGGCCATCATGCCTTCATGGCCTTGCCACCATGATAATATGGTCATCATGCCTTCATGGCCTTGCCACCATGATAATATGGCCATCATGCCTTCATTCTAGTCATCATCCTGGCAGCATACTATCCCTCTCCATCACCTTCCCGCGCGGCTGCCAGTCTCGCTGGCATGTTGCTGACCCGCATTGCCTGGCAGCAGTGGGAGGGGGCAAGGAGCAGGTGGCATCTGGGTGATGGGCTCGGGGTTTGTTGTAACTTGCTGGGCAATGTGTTTGAGGTTCCATGTGGGTGGTGCTATGGCTAGCTTCTGTTTCCAGAAAATTCGCAAGCTAGTTGTGTTTCAATCCCCACCAGGCCCTCAAATATATAGGTAAAACATGCTGAAACCCGGGATTTTATGGTGTTGGTAGGTGCTAGAGATTTCAAGATGTTGGTTGAATATGTCATGCACTTGCATGATGTTGTGCTTTTTAGCCTGTAATTTCAGAGTGTGGTGCCGCTCAATGCGGTGCCTCAGGGTATATCTGAGGACAGCACTGACCTGGTGTGACCTACCTGGCTTGGTCTGACCTACCTGGCTTGGTGTGACCTACCTGGCTTGGTGTAACCTGCCTGGCTTGGTGTGACCTTCCTGGCTTGGTGTGACCTACCTGGCTTGGTGTGACCTACCTGGCTTGGTGTGACCTACCTGGCTTGGTGTGACCTACCTGCCTTGGTCTGACCTACCTGGCTTGGTCTGACCTACCTGGCTTGGTGTGACCTACCTGGCTTGGTCTGACCTACCTGGCTTGGTGTGACCTACCTGGCTTGGTGTGACCTACCTGGCTTGGTCTAACCAACCTGGCTTGGTCTGACCTACCTGGCTTGGTCTGAACTACCTGGCTTGGTGTAACCTATCTGGCTTGGTGTAACCTACCTGGCTTGGTCTAACCTGCCTGGCTTGGTGTGACCTACCTGGCTTGGTGTGACCTACCTGGCTTGGTGTGGCCTACCTGGCTTCGTGTGACCTACCTGGCTTGGTCTAACCTACCTGGCTTGGTCTGACCTACCTGGCTTGGTCTTCAGCCATATGATTAGGCGAGCAGCAGTCTAAAAGAAATCTTTAGCAAAGGATTAACAGTACGATCTGTTGTTGTTCCTGCTAAAAACAAGGAGTTTCAAGAAATCCGACTCAAAATTCCACTCAAAGATTAAAACGAGGCAAACTAGTTTCGGGTGACGGGACAGGCCCCAATCACACCTTCATCAGTGCAAGTGGAAATGAAAGAGAATGAGGAAGACGAAGCATTTGGGCAAACACTACGTCTCGGAAAAACAAAACTCCAGGTTGTTGCAACCGTGGCCAGAAATCTGGTTGGCCAATCCCTGACGACCTAGAAAAGTCCAAGTGCAGACGGCTGAGAGTACGGACTTTTGTGAGTGCAGACTTTGTTACGAGTTCAGGCGAACGCGGTCCCCATGCGGTACTTTGGTTGGTCATTCGTACACAGTCAAATTTTGGAAAGAAACACGCCCTGAGCATTTCTCCCCAACCCAATCCGATCCCATCATTCCTTCCACAGCAGACTCCCTTGCGCAGCTTTCCCCGTCGCATTTCCATTCGCCAAATCTGTCCCAACCAAGGCTGCAAATTTGGCCTCGTACAGTTTCTGCATCGCATTAGCTATCCAGGCCCATCGTCGACAACCTTAGCTTGCCACTTGTGGGTAGCTGAGAGTAGCAGGTTTGCTGCGGGGGCTGCTTCAGCTCGGCTTGCTGTCTTTTTTTTAGGTAAGCAGCACTACGGAATACAACAACTGATGGCTTGCGGTACGATGGAACTCTGGAATGTCAGGGGTGGGGTTTTTAGGACTGCTCAAGGGTCTCATGCTTCACAGGCCCAGGACTATGCTGCTGCTGCTGCTGCGAGAAGTAGGTGCTGTATTCTTCGAGCTCGTAGAACGACGTTCAGGCTGTTAGCCATAGCTCTGCCTATAAGGACACGCACACGCCACAAACGATATAGCGGCTGTTTGGGACCGAGTAGACTTACCTTTTCAAGGCCAGGGTGATTCCAGTTCAGGGGAACACCGTACTGATTTATAAGTAAGAAGTCGCTAAGCTTGAAGCGATGCTGGAAATCATTCTGGTTGTGGTGGGTCTCATGCTTTTATGCATGTGCTTTCGTGGTGAAGAGAGAGACAACGAACGATCAACTTTCCAGAGCAACTATGGAAGCGGCAGCTATGCAACCTCACCCACTTCATTTCAAGCACCTCCTGTTCGGCGAACTGCTGTTGCTGTCTTTTGGGATTACGAAAATTGTCAGATTTACAGTGGGGTCGGTACCGCAAGAGCCGTTGAGTTTATCCGTAACGTAGCATCAGGTTATGGATCTATTGTAGAGATGACTGCTTATGGCAAAGCTGCCCAAGTAGCATCCCGTGAGGACGATCTGTTATATTATGGGGTTTCGGTGAAAAAAGTGCCGCAAGGGTGGAACTTGGCAGATCAAGAGATTCGCAAGGACGCTGCAAGATTTGCTTCTTACAACAACTATGGGTATGGTACCAGCCTTTATGCTCCTGTTTTATTTTGCCTCTCACTTGTATTTTCTGAAATTTCCTACTAATGTTTATCTTCATTCTCAAACCATGTCCTCTGTTGCTTCTTTCGAGTAAATCCACCAGGGCGACTGTGGTGCTCATTTCTGGGGACCATGGATTTTGTCCACTCATCAGAGACCTTCGGCACAGAAATGTGCGCGTAGTTGTCATCGCGAGGAGGGATCAGCTGTATGCATGGGGAGAGAGCTCGCCACTAATGGATGCAGCCGATGCTGCATATGTATGGTCGTTGTGATGCATGATTGACGAGACACGTCTTCATGAAGACTGACAAGATGCATCCACTGGTGCAGCACCATGTTGGAAACATGTGTCTGATTAACGGATGGACTTGACAGTCCAGCAACTCTTGCATCAGGTCAGGTAGCATACCATTGAGAACAGGTACCAACCAACCAAGTACAACGGGAACCCCATCCTCACATGGGGTGCCATGTTTGAATTGAAACGTCTCTTCCTTCATCTAATATGGTTCTGGTATGACAGCGATGTTGGCTTAGAAACTATGGCATTACAATCAAAACGTGTGCTGTGCTACTGTACATACAGTACCCCATCCCACATGGGGTTTTGAGTCTCCCAGCTTGTGATCAGTTTGTCTGTTGGAACACCAGTTCGCGAGACTTGCATGTGCCCTGCACTGTCCACCTTCATCTGAACAACATCAAGCATGTCTTGTAGCATTGCTGCAACCGGCCAGAAGAGGTCGAACTCCTGCCCTCCTTCAAAATAGAATCCATGCTTTTCCAATATGCAACCAAGTGGTTGTTTGGCTCGCCCTTGTAATTCCAGCTGGAGTGAATCGAGGAAGTCAACCCAGGTGCCTTTGCGTAGCAAGATTGTTGCCAGAACTTGATGAACAAGATGTCTCATCCTTGATTGGATAAGCGCCAAGCTTCTCATGTTTTGTGGCGATGAAACAAGCTGCGTCGTTCGCTGCTGTGCTATCCCCGCTCGGACAGCTGGTGTGACGTCCCTCAGATCCTTCAGTAATGACCAAGCAGAGTTCAGCTGCACCACATTTGGCAACACATCTCCCAGGTCCTTGAGGCTTTTCAAGCCGTAGTTCGCCAAGCGAATTGGTTTGCCAATGAGATGGGAAAAAAGGATGTGAAACAGGTTGATAGAGAGCTCTCCACAAGCACCAAGGACTGTCATCACCTGGTACCTAAGAGTCGCCAAGGAAATCTCTTCAGCTGAGAAGCCTTTCGCAGCACGTTCCTTCACCCTTGCAATGTCACATCCGCACAGCTCACTTACACCACTTGCTCTTCCGTCTTTCGCAACATGTCCACCCTCATTCTCAACAGCGGCATGCATCACTGGTGACACAAGGCGAAATCTTGGGGATGGAGATGATGACGATACTAGCTCTGAAAATTTCTGTGGAAGTAACTGGCCCCAGTCATGGATATCAGCTCCTGAAGTCAGTAGCTGCAAAGATACTGGAAGCGACCTGATTACTCTAGTGATCGCAGCCACTTTGACATCACTGACATCACGGTCATGGAGACTAGATACAAGTGGGACGAAGCCAGAGTCAGCAGTGATAAGCACCACGCATGAAGAGACCGACCTGAAAGGTCGTGCAATGGGAAAAAAAAAGGTGGTTCGTCG